TGAGGACGTGCAACGGAAAGGAGTAACGAAGCAAGAAAGGGACATGAAAGTCTAGATTTGAGACATGCTCAGGGGAATTGAGACAAAGTTCAAAGAATGAAGCTTAAGGAAAGCCAAAACAAAGGCCAAAAGAGAGAAAAGTGCAAAGGGTGGATGGGTGAAGGATGGGGAAGAGGAAAGATGCAGAGGGTGGAAAAGAAAAGGGAAAAGGGAGGATGACTAGAAGAAAGTGGGAGTCAGGCTGCCGCCGACCCCAAACCGAAGCAAGGAGCGGTGGCTACGGAGGCCTTCACATCTGGTTGTGCTTCTTCTGAGTTCATAAAAAGAAGCTAGAGAGAAAACCTAAAAAACAAACCAACCAACACCAAGGCTTTTCCTCATAAGCATCTGAGAATGTTTTTTCCCCTTCATAGACGGTATCCAAAGACAGGCCCTTTATTACTACTACCAAACAACACGTGAATAGCTTGTTATCTCAAAATCCCCACTTCTCTCGTCACTTGAGATCCGGGCTTGTGGCTTCTAGGTTGTTGGGCACGCAGAATGCAATAGATTCTAAATGCTATCGATTCACAAACAAATTCAATTCCGAATATTTATCAATCTCTTTAATAAAATAATTAGCAAGATTCTAAAAAACGCTAGGCACTTTAGGTAAATTTCTTATATATCTTGTAAATAAGTGCATATTGACAATTACAAAAAATTATACTTGTATGAAATTCATGGATAAGTTAATTAAAAAAATGATAAAATGCCAAAAGAGTATCCAACAAGTTCATAATTTGAAACAACATAAAATGGAAAATAGGAGGAAAATAAGGAAATTTATTGATGTAAGATACTTATTTTTAGCATCCCGAAATTTAAGTTGATACACAACACACCTATTATATAAAATTAACAAAATTTCAAGGTATAATTAGAACTCAGACTTTAAACAAATTTCACAACAACAAAAATAAAAAAATAAAAAAAAAACACCTCCCAACCATCTAGCACCACCTAGAGCCACCCCGATTTTTCCAGCCGTTTTACACAAAATCACCTCGGTTCCAATGCATATAGTGCCTAGGGCATTTTTTAGAACAGTGATAATTAGTGATTCATTTGAAAGAGCTAGAGAGACAGCAGCATAATGAAAATGCTTATCTGATCTGGACAACATTTTGTCTCTCAAAAGAATTCGTGTTCGAGCATGCTGAATGTGTTTAAATATCTTAAAGAAAAAACTACATCGCATTTGGAATCATTACTTACAATGACTCGACGGCAAAGATTAGGTTATCATGAAACAAACAATACAAACTCTTTAAGATCCATTGACGGATCTTATTATTTTTCCCCATACTCAAAAAGTCAAGAAAAAGGGAGTATGGTGACTAGGAAAGAAACCATGGGTGCAAAATCAGCGGTAAAGACTTTCGGATCTGAGGTTCTCAGCAATCTCGGTCTCCCAACGGTCTCCATTCTCCAGCAGCTTTTCCTTGTCGTAAAGAAGCTCCTGCAACAAAGGCAGAAAGAAATGCTTGGATCAGTTGTTGTCCAAAGTGACAAAAATAGAAATGAAAACATAGAATTAGTTGCAATGAGTAAATAGAAAGGATGCTCCTTAACCTCATGAGTCTCTGTTGAGAATTCGAAGTTTGGCCCTTCGACAATGGCATCAACAGGACATGCCTCTTGACAGAATCCACAGTAGATGCACTTTGTCATATCAATGTCGTACCTGAAAGACTAGATAAATGTGAGGAGAAGATTGAGACGGAAAGGAACGGTGCGGGGAGGGGCAAAAAGGAGAATGATTCTTCACCTAGTTGTCCTACGGCTACCATCTTCTCGTTCCTCAGCTTCAATTGTAATTGCTTGTGCAGGACAGATCTGAGAAAAAACAACTGCTTTGTAAGTTAAAATGAATATTCAGCTGCTCAAACATTATAACATAGGACATGAACGTAGCCTGTTAACAATTTGCACAGTGAAATGATTCTTCAAATTCTACATGAGATTGAATCATATCCGAAGCAGAAAGTGCAGAAAGCACACAATGTATAGAGATACAAGTATGAAAACATAATGATTTGATATCTTACATGCACACATAAAAAGTATATACTAATATGAAAAGCAAGTAGGGCATAAATGAGGCACAGCTGCCAAAGAAAGCAACAGACTCAATATAGTTTTCCGAATGTGGCCAGTAGGCAGCATTGTCTGGCCTCTAAGCTCTAGGTATTGCGCACAATGCCAAAAGCAGCTCATGGAACAAATATCCACAAAATAAACACCAACACAGAAACATGTACACTGATGCCAGATATACAAAAACAAAATAAAATAAAAAATAAAAATCTTGAATTTTCTAAACAGTTTTAGCAGGCAAGAGTTTTCGTTGTCAAATCCTAAATTTATAAGTTGTCTTAAATTCATATGCGAAAATCTAGAATACCAAAAGAAAGGTTTCAACTCTTACAGCTTCACAAAGCTTGCAAGCAATGCAACGCTCTTCTCCCGTAGGATATCGCCTTAGGGCATGTTCACCACGAAAACGAGGGCTCAAAGGGCCCTTCTCAAAAGGATAGTTGATCTGCAAAAATAAAAGATAGGTGTCATAATTCACCAGGAAAAAAAAATGAAAAACAAACTTGGCAATGTGTGTTCAATGATACTTACAGTAACTTTTTTCTCAAAAAAGTACTTGAGCGTAAGCATCAGACCTCGAACCATTTCAGTGAGGAATAATGTGTTTATGCTTCGATCAAAAACTGCAGTAATTAGCAAAATGAGGCTATTATTTCAGACAGCAGAAACATAATGTAACACCAGATTAAGAACAAACATAATGGTATTTTTCTCTTGAGAGGACGGTAGATTACCAGAACTCCAATCCTTGGAGATCTCCTTTGCGAGTTGCTCTCTTTCCTCATCCTCTGAAATTGGCATAAGAAATAAGTACAAATTCTAAAAATAAAATCACAACATGGTAAATCACCTAATACAGCATGATATTGAACACCACATGAACCGCAGAATATGAACCTTTTATAGTGGAGAAGTGTTGTGAAGTGGATCGCAGTCCATAGTAGGAAGAACCCTGCAATGCTTGCCCTGGTACAGCCTAAACACAAACCAAACAATAGACCGGATAAATCTTGTAACATCCAATAGCTAAAAAAGAATATGATACAGGTATATATAAACCCAAGGGTTCTAATAAAGCTCTCCCAATAATTATGCTGAAATGAAATTTAATAGATGAAAAATGGAAAAAACTTAGTTTAGACTTAATAGATTTCATTTGAAAGTTGAGAAACAGAATATAGATGAACTAATTGAAGGAGAGAACCTAAGATAAGAAACTGTGTCGAAGTGTATGCTAAACAATTGGCACATCAAAGATACTGATGGTGACAAAGTATGATAGTTAATTCATTTATTGGAAGAAGCAGAAATCAAGTTCTTTTTTCTTGTGAAAAGGATATGAATATGTTAAAGAAACAAAAAAGAGAAACAAGGAGGGTGGTCACGAAGACCAAGCTTGCCCAACAAAACACAGCAAACAGAAAACCACCATCAACTCAAACAAAACTAGGAAATATAACTAGTTTGTTTAATCAAATATAATTGATTTGCAGAACTGATGCTCAGGAATTTGTGTGTAGTTCCAATGCCAAAGAACTCCGAAAAAACCATCAGTGGGTTTGATTTGAAGAACTGATGCTGAGGAATGAGGTTATTCTAAGTTTTGTAGATATCCAAAACCCATAAAATGGAAGTTTTGTTAACCCAAGGAAGAGCTGGGTTTTCTAAACCCATTCTCTGCTTTTGACATTCAAAAAATCAAAATGATTACCTTAAGTATTGGCTTCTGAACGGTAAAATTCAGTCTATGTCCTAATCAACATTTCCAAATACTTTCTGACGCCCATCTCATGGAATAAATTCCCAAAACCCCATTCTGAGAAGCAAACACACTCTAAATCTCAATAACCCAGAATTCCCCTATCTCCTTTCATTTGCCCCACAATCCCCCTAATTCTCAGAGCAAATGACATTGCAAGGCATACTCAATTCTTCCATTTTTTATGCATTCCATTACCCGTAATTATACACCTCCATGTGAAAAAATAAGGTCAATACACCACTCTAAATCCTCTTCCGATATGAAAACAATGAGGTTAACAACACCAATCTAAAGCTCACAACACATATAGCATTCAGAGAGCAATAATTGTTCCAAAACTACATCAATTCTCAACGAAATTCGCTTCCAACCCTCTTTATAACTATTCGGTATTAAAACTTAGCTATTTAGAGTTCAAACTTTACAACTATCAATACAATAAAAATAAAAAAAAGATTTTACAATCGATATACTTTAAGAACAAAACCAGCTCAGTTTTGCTCAAACAAATCGATTAACGGCACAAAGCTCCTGATCCAAGAAATTTGGAAGGAGTAAAATAGTTGAGAAATTTAACTTAGATATGTGCCCAAAAACGAATATCAAGATTGGAGCGTTGGATTTTTATTTCTCTTGGCTAATTTTCTCGGAAACCAAACGGAGTATAAGAAAAGGGGAGTTAGGGCAGAGGATAAACTCACGAGCTGTCTGGTGCGGAGAGCCTGGAGAGATTTCCGAGCTAGGATCGCAGCCATTGCCGGTGACGGCTGAGTCGATGGGTCTTCTTCGACGCGACTGGGGTTCGATTTGGGGACGTTGGGAAGGAGCAGGCCAGTGCCGATCAGATGGAAATGGGAATTTGATGTCCGGGTTATGGTACCAAACGGTGCGTTTTGCAAGGGAATGAGCACTGTGCTCTGCGACCCGACCACTCAATGTAGTCCAATGAGGCGAGGGCAGAAAATAACTTGACCCGGCCCATTGGGCCAAATACCCAAATTAGATGAAGGGCCCAAATCAAGAAAATGGTGCCTTGAGAAACGAGTAGGGTTGAAGCTCTCGGCTGCCTCTCTCTGCTTCCTCGACCTGCGGATTCGTTCAAACTCCTTATCCTCCGAACAAGAAATGGCTTCCTTCTGCAGATCAGCTCTAATGGCGGGCTCAAGGTCCATAGCTCGCTCAAGAGCCCTCACCCAAACCTCCCTTAACTCCTTAAACCCCGCAGCCATGGCGTCCCCGTTTGCTTCCGCCACCAGAACAATTCCTTGCGCTACAAGGTACAGTCTTCTCAAATCCCACCCACACATTCAATTTTCACAATTACTATGACTTCTGAAACCCAGTTTTAACAAATATCTGTTATTGTTATTGTGGTTAGATTCGTTTCGGTATTGGGATGCATGGAGTCAATGATGCCGCTTCACAGCGCCATTGCTTCTGCTCGGCTTACATCCAACATTGCCGTCGATTCCACCTGCTGGAGCTCCCTTTCTCTTGGTAACCCACTTACCCAATTTTTCTACTTTTCACTGAATTTTTTTCTTGTTGAATTGTTTTGTTAGTTGCACGTATATAGCTATATCGGTAACGAGGTATAGGGAGTGTTTTCTAGTTCTTTATTGTGTGAAATAAATTGGGATTTGTTGGCTTTTTGAATGGTTGAGTGGACAAAATGAAGAGCTAAATCTCAACAAAGTTGTCCCTTTTCTCCATTATCCGTCTTTTCTGTCATTCATTTCGAGAATCAAAACTCGATCGGTGTCAAATTTGGATAATAATTTGAAGTTTCTAGTGGATAAATGTGATTAATTCATTCTGGTCATTAACAAGCAGCTCCTAAGCCAGTCGTTTCTTCTCTAGTGGCGCACTGATTACCGCTTCTTTCTGCATTGGGTGCCTATTTCTGACTCATTTTTTCTACATCGTGGTATAGGTCTTGCATCACCGTTGTGACAAGGCCCACTGGCTTGTAAAAGAGGTAATCGGTGCATAGGGTTTCCCTTCCGAGTCATGTCTTGACATTTTGGACACCGTATTGCATAGCTTATGCCAGCTCATTTGGTTCAGCTATTTAGTTTCTGCTGTTAAACTTCCGTTAGATTGTTCAGCGGTACCTTTGAGAATCGTTCTTATTCTGCTCTTTTGTTTTCAAAATAAGTAATGCATGGAATTGCAGTTTCTTATTGTGGTATAAATGATCCACATGCATGCATTGATTTTTCTTTTTTTTTTTTGGCAACTAAATATTTTTTTCATGGGTGCTTATTGTGTGTATTTTGTAATGTGAATTTGAAACAACTAGAGTATTGTTTAAGGCTTGAGTTATTTGATAATTGATATTTTGAGCAATATAATACACTATATATGGTTGTCAAAAAGAAAATAATACATAAATAACTATGTAAGGCTGGTTGTAAGTTGATAGGGATGGAGAAATTTTAGCCTATTTTAGGTGACAGCGTTGTTTGTGTTCATTCTATTGCTTATTACCTATATCCACTTACCTTTGGCTTTCATATTGGTTCCTCCATCCTTTGTTCTTTTACTTTTCCCATTGCTTTCTGGCAATTGCATAGTGTAAGACCCTAGATGTTCCTGAAAAATAGTTTCACTGTCTTGAATGTTTACATGCTAGTGTGCACATTGATACTTACTTCAATACCTTTCTAAGGTAGACGGCCAAGGACATTTTCTGTGTTTTTTGTTCAATCAGACAGCTTGTGTCAGTAAGTGATTTCGGTTAGTTTGAATGACGCTAAATTTGGGATTTGCCTAACCTTCAATTTAGGACATAGGGATAGTTAAAATCAGGAGTTTACAAACAAATAGCTCTTCGTGGGTTCCAAAGTGACCAATGACTAATAGAGAGAATTGAGATAGTCCCTTAGGGATCACCCTGATGTCTAGGAAATCGGTTTTCTTTGAGGTGGTTCTAAGTTCTAGCCACATTAGTGGCTCTTGTACTCTTTGGTTGTTGCCAGTTATTTATAAGTACAAAATGTCCCCACCGATGATGGTTGGACGAGAATATCTTATTGTGCTGTCTGTTTTGAATGATGCAAATTGCTTAATTACCCTATTCTTTCTGCCATTACTGCATAGTATGATCACATGTGAAGTTTATGTTCAAATACTCTCCAAGAAAACCAAACGACGGGGTTAAAGCACCTCCACCCAAACTACTCAAACTTTTGATACTTCAATTGTGTGATCTTTTAACTGTGCTTATTTGGTAAATAGCAATAGCATGATTTCTGTTAAATGAGTTCAAGCTCGGCTAATTATAAATTATTCTTGGACAGGGCTTCTCGACCGAAGCTGAGTATGACCCAAATTTAACCAGGCAACCTCATCCCGGTTCGTTCAAGTTGTACTGTACTGCTCTCCTCCAATGGCATATAAGTTTCTATTTGATAAACGATATCAGTGACCAATTTTGTTTTTGCTTACACTGTGGTATACACTGATTGTGATGCTTGGCCTGAAGAATCAATGGACTATCAACCTAGAACAATAGGAATGATACATGTGATGCATGAGCTTATTAATTATTTGGGTTGAGGGCCTTCTATTTGGTCATTGGAAGTGTGACGGCAGAGTTATTTTCATTAAGTGCCGTTAAGGCGGAAAGAGTGGCCTTCGAGCATATATATTACATCACCGCATCTATTGCTCATAGAGAAATTGTGTTGATATAATTGCTGGTAACAAAACGGAGTGGCATGTCATTTATAGACCTATTTTTTACAATATTGGTGATCTTCCTTATTGTTCTGCACATAATTTATGTTTCTCAATTAAGTGATCAAGTGCACAGCATAGAGTAGTGTGATATAATGTGAGTATTCAATCCGCTTCAATCGAGCACAAAATAAGAACGAGAAAAGGGAGCCTCGTTCTCCTGGTAAAAAATTTAAAAGTACTTACGGCTGGATTTGATATCAAGGATTGTGGCTAAAACATTAAAGACACATTTATTTATTTGTCACCTTTGATATCAAATCAAAGAGTAAATGACTGAATATTATGTTCATCGTGTCACCTAAAGAAATTTTTCTTTTTCCCTTTTTTGGGAAAAAAGAATGAAATATATGAGCCAAGCAACATGTCATGGAAGGCTGGCCACGAGAAATATGGTTGGAGCCCACAGGTAAAGGCAATACTTATCACGAAATCGTAGTCCATGGCGATGGGTGGGTTTGTAATTTGACAAGATAGATGTACAATTAGCAAGTGGGCAATTTTTGACCATTGATTAGATTCGAGCCAAATGTTTGAAAAGAATGGTTTGATCACTATCCACCAACCTTAATGCATAAATTCACTCTCTGTACTTGGGAAAATGTTCTTCGTCGGTTTATAAGTTTGACAAGTAAACATTTTCCTACGATAGGCAATGTAACTAGTGTAGCTTTGCAGGAAATGAGTGCGCAAAAAATTGTATAATACATGAAAATACTATTTTCATTGTGAGATGGTCAGAATTCGATAGCTCATTCGTACGATAAAACTTGCATTTATATCAAAGAAATGTATTGTGTAACACCACTCTCATAGAGGAGAGCTTCTTGTATTGACGAGTCATGTTTTTATTAGATGAGAGTTATTTGTATTGGTGCAATACTATAGTATGTCTAGTAGCCTTGTTTGTTAGACGTCGAATATGAATATATAGGGCGAGATAAATGTTTAATACGTTTTTGTACTAAACAAGCGCCGATTTAATTGAATGGATTGAAGCCACTTAAAGCTTCCAAGACAAAGATGAGGAAATCCAAGTAACGTATGGTTGTATTTTTTCATCATTTGGATATAACAAGATCCTCTAACAGATTCACAAATCAAAAAATAGTTTTGGACGTCCTTTTCATTACGGTAGCACTTGTGAACCAGCGTGCATGCTTTCTCTCTCCCTCTTTTCTCCCAGGATAAGATCTCATCATCTGAGGAAATATCAAATACGTACCGACCCCACTTCTGATAAACAAACACTGATCTTCTCAATCCCAAATCCCCAATTTACAAAACCAAAACTAAAATTAAGAGAAACCCATTGTTCTTTCTCAAATTTGACAACTTGGGTTGGCCTTAATTTCCGTTCAACAATTTTTTTTCTCTTTTTTTTTGAAGTAGAAGGAAGGGAATAAATCTTCCACTTGTAGCAAGCTTCTAGCTTTATTTCTCTGCTGCTACTGCTTGTAAGTTTCAAAGTTAAATCCTTTGGCTTTGTCTGGATCTCTTTGTATGAATCTCGTTTTGATTTCGATGTGATTTTTGACTAACCTGAGACCCAAAGAATTTCTCGAATTTCTCAATTTTCTCCAATATTTTAGGACTTCTGGTTTTATTTTTTTAATTTATTTTAATTTTTTTTGCAATTTTTTTGCCCATCTTATCCTTTTGTTTTTGCTTTGGTTTGTTTTCTTCTTCCTGCTCCTCTTGCTCTGTGATCAATAGCTTTTTGTTCCTCAGTTGAGTTCTTACAGAAAAACTTGCTTATAGGTTGGTTCTGTGCTTCTGTTACTATAAAAAAATCATTCTCTTTGTTTTGATGATTTCTTGCAGAAAAAAAATAGCTTTTATGGTGAGTTTTTGCGGAACAAAAACTTGTTTTTTTTGCTTCCTCTATATCCTTCTGGAAAATGGTTTTGTTCTTGGGAATTGGGTTCTTCTATGTCACTGGTTTTGCTCTTCTCTTCTCTCACTAACAGAAACTCTTTTCGTTTCGAGTAAATTTCTCTTTTCACTTGTCAGTCAGGTTTCTGTTGTTTCCATGTTGCATATATTGCTTTACTTTGATTTCGTTATACCTTTCTCGGCCTTTTCGCTATTTGATTTTGTTGATATAGATGCAGGTTCTTTATGCTCAGAGGGTTTACATCTACATGGGCTATCTTCATTCATCTGCTCAACTGAGGCAGTGAGGTGGAAGGAGGATTTGGCTGTGGAAAATTGAAACGTTGATGATCATGGGAAATTTGTATGAGGCATCAAATGGCCACGTGGTTGTGAGACAATCCAAGGTCTCACTGCCCTGGCTTGATGTAAGAGTCTTTTATATCAGAATTAGCAAATGTGAGATTGATGATTCCGCTCCGGAGTTCCTCACAGTAAATCACATTCCATTGGATCCTGATACCCTTCTTGAAGTCAATGGTGTTAGAACTAGCATCTATTCAGATGGGGCGACAACCCTTCTTCGAAGGGATAGGTTAGATAAGAAGTCCGAAGAAGCGACATTTGTGAGCACTGACAGTATAAGGATGACTGGAAGGGTGAAGTTTGAGGTTTTTGACAAAGATGTTGTGGTCTTATCTGGCGTTCTAGAACTGTGTAATAGTAATGGTTTCGTTGCGGAAACAGATCATCATGGTCAGAGATGGAGCATGAGTTGTGAATCAGATATAGTTGCAGGCACTGGCTTCTTTAAAGGAAGGCAATTTATGGGGCCAGAGTCTGCTTCACCTTCGATTGAGGTATACATTGCCGGGTCCTTCTCGGGCACTCCAATAATTTTAACAAAGACTTTACAGCTCGGTCTTTGGAAGAAGCATGTGAGGAAAGGGTTGCTGGATTCCATACCAGAGTATGAGGCAACTGAAGACCAGAAAAACAATCCTCCTAGGTTCGCTTTTCAGGTACCTACTTTCGACTGAGTGTTTTTCATGCTCTATGTATTTCATGTTTGAGTTCGAGTTGCCTTGCTCTCTGTTATAATAGTGTTTCTTTACCCACGGCCATGTCTGATGCCAATGCCACTCTGCTTATTGCTTGGTGATCCTGCGATTCACCTGTGAAACTTTCTTATTGCATTAGTACCGAAAAAGTATGTAAATTGTTGCGTGTTAGATCCGCCGGCTAGATAATGAATTGTTGTAGTGGCACAGGCTCATGCTGTGAAGCTAAAGGTCAACAGAACAAAACTCATTTTATCATCTTATATATTCTCGAGTTGTTTATGTTAGAGATGTATGATATTCCTGTGCTTTTTGCTGTCAGCGGATTCTTCGAACTCAAAATTTGCTGATCAATCAATAATCTAACAAAGGGAACGGCTACTATGTTAGGTGATAAGACAATGCTAATCTAGTACCTCAAAGTACACTGAAATTCTCTCTTTCGAGGTCATATTGCGTATCGTGCATACCTGCAGTACTGAATTCATTGGTTCTTTTTGAAACCCTTCTGTGCAGCACGGTGGTTAGTTTCTACTAAAAGAAATTCATTCCGTCTCTGTTAAGGATCTTTGTAACGTGCTCTCGTTTTAAGGCCTCCTTTGGTGTCTAGGATTCAACTGGAATGGATTACTAACCAGATTTAGCGTATGTTAAAGTCAGAAATGGATTCCAACTTAGAAATGTTGTCTGCGTTGAAGGTAAAAGATGGATTAGTTATACATAGAATAGAATGCATCTATTTTCTCATTCAGCATACATTGAATGTGCGATCCAATCGTTGGCACCAAACGAGCCTTGAGGGTTTTTGATGACGGTCTAATTCTGTCTGAATCTTTTCTTAGACTGTTGTTAACGAGATAGTAGCATTTTATAGAACCTTTCTTCTCTTCAATTACTAGGTACTCTGGTTATTTAGTTCTAGCTGTCAATCTGGTTGGTTATTCATTTTCGTTTTGTTTGAACTTGGCAGGAGTCGGAGTACTCAGACTACAAACCGGACAACGGAGAAAACCACTTGTACTCCGGGACCTACTTAGAAGGTGAAGACGGTGAGCTTTCATGGTTCAATGCCGGTGTGAGAGTCGGTGTTGGGATCGGATTGAGCATCTGCGTTGGAGTAGGGCTAGGAGTCGGGTTGCTCGTACGAACCTACCAAGGCACCACCCGCAACTTTAGACGCCGGCTACCGTAATTCTACTGCATATTTCATTTCTCCTGGTTGTATTTTTAGCCTCACAGTGTTGAACTCCCTGACAATCCCATGTCAGTGGTTTTCTTGTCATATCCCAATACCCTTCTAAAAGTAATGAAGAAGCACGATATTGTTACAAGCCGTCCAGCCTTTCCAGGTTTTATCTCGCGTGCATATTTCCGGCGTATATGACATTGTGACACAGAGCAGGCCCTGAATACACATCAGAATGCAGTAGGTTCATAACAACCAGATTCGGTTCAAAGTTAGCGAACTAACAAATTTCGAGTGCAGCACGAAATGTCATTCACACATTATTTGTACGAAAGTGATAATCAGCCTAACAGATGAGAAATTTTCCTACGAGATCAGATATTTTTTCAGGATCCAGTTTTCCATCCACTCGAACTCTGATCATCGTTAATCTATCAAAAGCAAGTTATATATACCTAGTGCAAGCTTTGGCTCTCCACGACAAGCTAATATGCACAAGTGATTCTTACAAAAGATTCTGAGCTTGTGGGTGAAGCGACTTTGCCACGCGATTTTAACAAAGATTCTCAAGTTGAGGGGAATGAGTCGCACGGCGGAACCAGGTGTTGAACGCAGTGACCAGGTGAGGACAGTCCACATTCCGGGTAGAGAAGCTGAGGCACTGCTGCAGCAACTCCTGTGAATCGGACATGGGCAGTGTCGAGATTATTCTGAGGAATGTCTCTTCCAGATCCAAGTACAGTGGTTTGTTACTAGATGTCAGAGGGGAAGCATTGGTATCTTTACAAACAATCAGAACTGGAAGCCAATCTTTGACAAGCTTCTTCCGAACCTGAAAAAAAAACATTATAAACAATCAGCCTTAGGTTAGGACCGTTAGGTTCATCTGTCTGGGCCACGGGTTTTGAAACAGAAAAGGGAAAATAAAAACATTTGTAATCCCCTGGACACCAAAGAAACAAGAATGAGAGTAAGATCGGTTACATTGTGTTGTTAACCAAGCAGCATTATCCACGTGTTAGGATGTTAAAAAGTTGGAAACACCTATCTGTAAAGCATTTGGGAAAAAAAAAACAAAAATCAAAGGAAAACATAACTGGTGCTCCATTTGGATATAATCAGCCGCGCACGAAAACAGAACAGCATAGTTCTTGCCCATACACACTTAGTAAGAAGCAACTTACAATGTATTTTACACTAGAAGAGAAGCGAATAAATATGAGAGAAAGCAAATGAGTGTTTTCAATTTTGTTTTTAGGCCGGATAGGAACTAGGACATAATGGAGAGAAAGCCTTCCGGACTTCAACTGCGGGCATCTTCAAAAAATTTAAAATCGAACAACACATAAATCTCATTTATAAGACAAAAATGATCTAACATTGAGGATTTAAGACTGATCTAATTTCTCCATTCCTCTCTACATTTGACCACACAAACGGAAAAGAAAACATTTCAAGTATCCCTCCACACCTTTCTTCTTCCTTTCTATTTCCTCAATCCAAACATACTAAAACGTAACCCTTTAAAGACTATAGTGTCTGCTGGTTCTGTCAATGCCATAAGATTCACAGTTGAGGTGTTCAGCAGAAATATAAACAGCCCATTAAGATTTCACTCAATAATCCCACTTTTGAAATGTTTGAAGAAACCCAACATCAAAGTGTATTAGCTCCCGCCTGCCGTGAAAACACAATTTGAAAACTACCGTTCTTCTCCCTTTCCGTCCTCAAACTCAAATGTTGTTCAACTTACCATTAATTTGAAAACTACCCCAAGAACATAAACAGAAAAGTTCCTATGTTGAACAGGTCCCATCAAAATTTAGCAACATCAAAATTGCGGCTTCCACGAGTCTAACCGAGCAATGCACCACATGAACAAATCAATGGCCAAACGTAGAACTAACAGAACGACCTCTGTATTCCAACAAAGAACTTGAATTACATGATATTCAGCTACTCTAGCAAGAAAGATGACATGGGAATAATACCTGAGCAGCAACCAAAATGGTTCCAGAAGCGACGGCATTGGCAAGCCTTGAAGTGCAGCGAAGCAAGACGCTAGGTAGGCCCGGCACAATATTCCTCCACGCATCGTCCTGAAAAGCCCTCTGCAAATCGGCAGTGAAAGCAGGCTGCTCGCTCCACTCCTTGACTGCCGAGTCAGCCACTCGGAGCTCGATCATCCTCTCCACGAGCCACACCAGGTGCTTCCCATGGGTCAATGCGGTGTGGAGGTTGAGCCTCTGGATGGCCTCGGTCTCGTCATGGTCGCCACGGACTCCGGGACTCATGTACTCCTCCATGGACTCCTTGACGACCTTGAAGGTGGTCTGAAACGCCCGATCCAGAACCCGCTCGACCAGGTCTCTGGACCCGAAATCCCGGAGCAGCTTCGCGACGAAGGCCTTGACGTACGCCATGTTCGGGTTGTGGGTCACGGCGAGGATGAGACCGTACAGCATCTCCTCGCTCGAATCGGGGCTTCCAGAAACCCTAGCGATGAGGTCTTTGGATTCGTCTTCGCTCAGATGAGGGATTAGAGCGAGCACTCGAGCTTCATCGTCTTGGGTCCAAGGGACGGCCTCCAGGAATCGAAGGCAGAATCGAACGCAATCATCGAAGATGAGTTCCGAAGCCACGGGGAGAAGGTCGAGCGCCGTCGACACAGTGGTTATGGCGGAGGCAAGGTCTGGGGTGTAGAGGAGTTGGAGGAGGGAAATGCGGGCCTCCATGGCGCCGGGAGTCGGTGGGACACGAAGGTTGATCTTGCGAACGGCGTCCTCTTGGGAGTCGGGGTGCTGCCATCGGTCGGACAAGAGGGCGGCGAAGTACTTGCAGCGGAAGAGGGCGTGGGTGTGGAGGTGGAGAACGACGTCATCCTGAGGCTGGGTGGTGGCGGGGGATAGAGACAATGACGTCGCGGAGGGGTCGACGAAGAGGCGGAGAATGACGTCGGCGGAGGAAGGGTCGTCGAAGGAGTAGGGGTTGGTGGGGTCGGGTTTCAGAGTCGGGCTTGGGATTGGGTCGGGATGGGTGGGTCTTTTGGCAACGGAGCCGATGATGACGGCGGCGCAAGGGCGGCTGGAACTGCTGCCGGCGGCTGAGCTGGCGGGGTGTACGGCGCGATGCCGCTTTTTCGAGCCGGTACCTGTGACCATACTGGGATTTGGGTGATCCGAGAATCGGGAGCTTTTTGGGACGAAGTAAATGAAAGAGGTTTATAATTTTTAGAAATTCAGATACACTTAATTAAAATTTTAAAGAAATTTATAATATTCCAGATCTATTCAATTAGAATTCGGAAAAGTTGAAGAATTAAAGAGAATTTGAGAGATTTTGTAGTATATTTTAGGAAAAATTAGAATTCCTTACAATTTTTCTATATCATTTAGATTAAACATGCATGCATTTTTAAAATTTGATTAAAGTCTTTTGACCATTAACCACCTCAAGCTAAATTACATGTCATTATTATATTTTTTTAAATTAAAATAATTTTTGAATTTATCTTTTTATCTGCATGATACACTTAAACCATATTTTCTCTTATTCGAGATATGCTTTTTCGATCACAGGTTTTTTTTTTTTTTTTCAATTAGTTGGTGATCAACATAAAAGCTCCTGTAATTTTTTCAATTTTTTTTGTGAAATTATTTTTTTTTTTTTTTGCTGTTTTTTTAAGTATAGTTGTTGACGAATTATTATTAAGTACAATAAATTACTTATGTATTATCTGCTGGTACGTTTGAATTTACAAAAATCATTAATTGGTACGTTTATTTGTAATTTTGATACATTTGTTTTGATACATATTATTAATGTCACGCCCCGAACCCGGGGTTGGTGGGACCCCACACCTGGTGCGCGAGTAAAAGTAAAAGTAAAAGTAAAACTATAAACGTAAAACAAAGGTTCTCTTATACAAGTAATTATTACAAAATTCTTACAGAGTGCACAAAAATAAGAAAACTCTTAAATCCCTTGTCTAACCCAAACTCAGCTCGTTTAGCACCTGGCTTGTCAAATAACTCATCTGAAAAATAAAAGGGTGAGGGTGAGCAACAACCACGTCGCTCAGTGAGTAGAATATGTAATATGTTAGTCAAGCGATGTCATTTTAGTCACTACAGAAAATACAATAATAATATCAAATCATTATGCACATAGTGCCATATCACATCATCCCTTTATGTGTTCATTATATCCTTCATAAATAGTAACTCACCACGTGATTCCTATTGGCTATTCTGCCTAATGTCTCATGTGTGCAGTTTACATTTATATCTCGGATTAATGCAACACTAAAGTTCTCATGCTCCATGAACAATTCCAAATATCCACATATCACAATATTAATAATTCCGAAAGCATTTTCACAAATCCAACATGCTTGACTTCAAATAGAGGTATCTGAAAATAAGTATAATTGCAACACATTACATAAATCACTCACCTTGATATTCCTTGCTTTGACAAGATAACCCATCTAACAATCTCCACACACCAAACCCCTAATTTTATCGGATGTTCCTAGATGCTTGCAAAGGATCTTCATTTTTTGATCTTAAAACTTCACAGAAATCTAACCAAAAATGGATTCTCACAGTTAATATTGGTACATTATTTTTATTTTGGTACATTTTATTTTGTACACATTGTGTATTGGTACGTTTATGTTATTATTAATCCTATTTTATCTTAACATACTAAAAGAAAAACTTATTTCGGTATGTTTAATTTTGTGGGATTTAAAATATTTTA